AGATGACTAAAATATGACTAAAACTAAATGGCATTTTAGTCAAAAGACTATGACTAAAACTAAATCAAAATTTGCTGTCAAAATGAACACTGGGCCCCGCTCACTGGCGTGTTAGTAAGATGACGAGGAGAGAAGAGGGATACAGGATCACTGGACTAAAAATAACATTACCTTCCAAAGGATCCTAATGCTAGGAATGTGGTTATTTATTTTCAACAATGTGAATGTCTCAGTTGAACATTATTTATTTGTATTCAGTACATTTCACTGTGCATTCTTTGGTAAATCAGTCGCAATTTTGAATTTTGAGTCTGGAGTCTCGCCAAAACTCTCGGTATAATCAACGAATCTCTTATTTAGATTGTGTTTGCACTGTTAGTTATGATGAAAGCATTCGTTAGTGTGCAGAAATCGAGTTAGAGATACATTTCGAAACGAGATCACTGCAACCTTTCATGCCATGATCTAAATATAGTGTTATAGATCTAAATATAATGCTATAATCAACACTTTTCAAGATTAGTTAACCTTGGCTGCTGTAATAGTAAAAATGTGCGAATCGTTTTCGAGAGTTCCACTTGTAGTACTAGCCATTTCATATGCAAAGATGTTAGCCAATCACAGCAGTGGGCGTTTACATTGAAGTCTCACAGCAGACACACCCCTTAAAACAGAGCGTTCAAATCAGAGGGCTGAAATCAGGGTAGGAAAACAATTTTTAATGTAAAAATCATACTAACATTATAAGTGCACCCCAGGAAACATAAAACAATGAAACACTGCAGTTCATGACCCCTTTAAATAAACCAGCCTAGCATAGCGCAGATCTCAACCACTGAGCTCCCAACATGTGACATCACTCACACTGTCAGCCTAATGACCCACCACATCCTCAGATGCAGTCTAAATAACATTCCGTCCTTTTAGAAAGCACACTTACAATAGGACATGTGTGATTGATCCTGTAATTGCTCAGGCTAACTGCTGTTGTCTTAGCCTTGTTACTGCACTCTGAGATCTATTTTTTAAATTCAAATCAGTCCGGAAACTCCTTTTGAAACATTTAAAGTAGAAATGCAGTGACTTTACCATAGTTACTGAATAGTACCCATAGTGTAACTGTGGTATTTGTAGTAACTTGCATAATACTGATTTGTATTGCTTACTAATAACACAAAATACAATTATTTAACAAGAATGCATTAAATTGCATATAATTGATCAAAAGATACAGTAGACATTTACAACATTGCAAAAGATTTCTATTTCAAATAAATGTTGTTCTTTTGAACTTTCAATTAATGAAAGCATTGTGAAAAAAGTCTTTTTTCCACAAAAAATATTTAGCAGCGCAACTGTTTTCAACATTTATAATAATAATAAGTAATGTTATTTGAGCACCAAATGAGTATATTAGAATGATTTCCAAAGGATAATTTGACACATATAATATTTCAAATTCACAATATTAATGTTTTCTTTTAATTACCATGGTATTCCATATACATAAGTACTACATTTTAGGTAAACAAGTTACCACAGTGAGTGTTACTATATAAAACTACTGTAAATTTTCATGAGTCAGTTTCCAGACGAGAGCCATTTTGTGGCAGCCAGGGCAGCAGAGGTGTCTGTGGACTCATGTTTATGTTACTGTGATTTGTAGTGAAAGTATTTTACCTTCATGTCATTCATAGTAATACACTGTAAAAGAGGGTTCACCATCACAGAGCAGCTGTACAGCATCTGTGCAGCACCATCCATTGCTATCATATCCTCCTCTGACACAATTCTGCTGTGAGAAAGACGGCCATGATTCAGCACTTCAAGAGGGGCTCTCTCATTACGGGATGCTCTTTCGCACTGGGATTGAAATGTATTCCTCTCTGAGGACTGTTACATCTCTCTTGATTTGTAGCGTATCCTATTTCATTCCATGAAGAGTCCAAAAGCCCACACAGCATTGTTTCTGCTTTTCTCATGTTTTTGCTAAACTGACTTTTTAAGGACTGTAGGAGTGCTTTGATTGGCAAAATGACATGAATTTCAGCCTGTTCCTCACAGAAAGATATCATATGTATGGCTTTAGAAGACTTGGAAAATGGTACTTTTATGATACTTTTATAGTCATTTTAAAGCTTAACACTGACAGCTCATATTCTCGTTCATTATAAAGAAAGGAGTGAGCAGGATTGTCTTAAATTCACAGTTTGTGTTCTATGGAAGAAAGAAAGTCTGAATTTACAATTGACAGATTTCTTTTCTTTTTAGGTGGACTAATCTTGGAGCCCTATGACTAAATGGATTAAATAGATTGTTTCTATCTGTCTAGCCGGACTGTTTCATGATAAATTACTCTCCAAGTTATATATCTCACATACAGTACCAGGACTAACAAGGACTATTTTAGTCATGTAGAGTTTAATAATGGGTGGCCTGGCTCTTACAGATGAGTGCCTCTGCTCCGCACTCATTAATACAATCACGTGAAGCCCTTTCACATGCTTTGTCTGACAGCATGGCCTGTGTACCACACTGAAGACATGGGAAAGTAGTTAGCCTCACCCCCTCGATCAAACGCTTGTGAAAATCACCAGTTAGTTTCATGTGTGTAATCTTATTTTTAAATTTCAAGACTATTTGGGGTGATATTCTTCTTTTTAAGCTGTGTTTGTTTCATTTAAATTCCTTCTTCTCTAGATATGATATATATTTAGCTTAAAATAGCAAGCAACCTCTCTTTCTTGATGGCATGCGTCTATCTTTCTGTTTGTCAGTTGGGAGGCACTCATTGACCCCCAGCGGTTTAGGGACGGCCTTCTTCTCTCCCTCCCTCTTTCACTCTTTTCCCATACGTTAGCAGTGAACAAAAGCCGCTCTCAGCTTTGTTCCAGCTTTTCATAGCACACTTTCACTCTTTCACACCAAAATCTCAACTTTCTTTCTCCTATGACAAACAGGCTGTAACAAACACACACTGTCAAGTGACATTATTCATCAATTTAGCATTAATTTGCAGTTCATGTCACTTTGTTTGTTGTTTACAAACCAAGAAGATATTTCTATCTTATGAATAATTGTAGAACAGACAAAGAAGACCAATAGACTTCCAACACAAAGTTTTAATAATAATCCAAATAACTGGCATCAGGCTGAGCAACACACACTAAACACAAATGTTACCGGACACTGAATGAAGAAAAGGTACGACTTAAATAGGAACTCAAACAAGGCTATTAATGAAACACAGCTGATACAAACAAACTCATAATGACAGAAACCATGACAACCAAGGAGTGGCGGGACCAAAGGGAGACAGAATCTTAGTGAATGCAAACTAAAAGTCCATGATTACTAAACAAACTGAACATAATGGTGACAGTAGACAATTAAATTTAGCCAGAAGGAGGCAAAGAACACTAAATCAGAGTGCTAATTGTAATGGTCGAAAATCCCATTGCTCCAAGTGTTTCAGCTAATATGTTGAGTCAATATGGAAATGGAGCACATAAAGAACAGTGATTAACTACTGACCACACAATGACCCACAGCTGTGATTGCCTCATCTGTCATGTCATTATTCTCAAGGTAATTATCTTGGGGGAGAAAAATATCTTCATCCCAAAAGGCTTCAATGATCCCCATGAAGACAGAATCATTCTGTGCCATCAATGTGATGTTATCTAGCCAGATGTCTTCGAGAGGGATATCACAATTGTCATTCTTATAGCATACTGGAAATTGAAAGACAATTTCCAGCCAATACGAACAATTAGTTGTTTTTTTATTTTTTTTTATTTTGTGTTGTAGGCACTCATAATCATATCTCACAACTGAATCAGTGTTCATCTACCTTAGATGACTTATTTATTTATTTTGCTTGTAATTACCTGACATATTTAGCCAGTAATTGTCTTTTATAGGGAGCTATTAGGATGAAAACAGTTAATGCTTGTTTGAAAGCAGGTCGACACACTCATTATAACGGGGGTTCGTCTAAAAATGCCTTGTGGCTCATCTCTGTTACTCACTCTCAGGGAGCCTGTCTCTGTCTATGCATTGTTCGTGGAAGAATCGGTGATGAATGGGTTTTAGGAGAACAACGCCGTGGCCCTATTAACATGTGGCGTTTTGTTTTCTTCTGCGATTCGTCACCCCCCCGCACAAACACAGACAGCCTCACAAAATGAATCCTTAACACTCGCCGGAAGAAAATCAATAGAGTGATTTAGCAGCTGCTGTAAGGATCCAAGGACAATGGGTGAGCGTTTAGCCTCCTGATAGCGTTATGGGTAAGGCAGGCCAATACCGTGTGGTGGCAAACCCGGACATTGATTAGGGGTATGTGACTTGACGTTCTTCCTCAAGCCTTTATTTCCACCCAATCCATAATCATCATAGCTACTGTTTGTGTGTTCTACAACAGAGATGATACTTCATTGATCGAGTTATGTGATTCAGAAAGTGTGCAAATAGATTTATGAACTTGATGGGCAAACAGCTATACAAGTAGTTTAAGGAAGCCAAAGTATTTATGTAGTAACACCACATTTTGGAGTCGGTAAGATTTTTACATTTTTTGGAAAGAAGTTTCTTACTCTCACCAAGGCTGCATTTCTGTAATAAAAATACGGTAAAAACAGTAATATTGCTAAATATTATTACAACGTTTTCTGTTACTGATTCCAAAGTTACGGCAGATGTCTATTTCACTTATATCCCTTAATGCATACAGCCGTACAATCTCCTTAGACAAACATTTACTGTAAAATTGGGCCCTTCCAGTGTGACATGATCCTGTGCAGAAAGCAAGGTCCATGAAGGAACTGTTCACTGAGTCTGAACCATTGAACACAGTTGGGATAAAATGCAAACTACGCCCCATCATGCCTGACCTTACTGATGCTCTTGTGCTTGCTTTACCATAAAAAAAATTTTATGATCACTTCAGTGTTTGTGTTGACCATGCATATAAATCTATTCTATCCTTAATCCTACAGTTCTGCAGATGAGAAGTTTCGCTGGAACAACCAAGGTAACTGAACTGTTTTCTTGCTAAAATGAGAATTTTCTTGCTCTTCAGCCCATCGTTTTGAAATCCATGATTTGAAACCTTACAAGAAGGTGAATGTTGTATGAAGAGCACCTTCTGAAATGCGTTTTGACAGTTGTCATAATCTAGCTGCCCACGTGGTAAACCGTGAATGTCAGAGTGAAACATGTTGACTTTTGACTGTATCGATTGTGCTACAGCAAAACGTTAGCCAAAGATGACAACCTCTGCCTTCCAGAACATAAAACACAGAGGAGAGGCTGAGATTGAAGAGCAGGAGAAGTGCAGCACATAAATGATTCATGAGCTTGCGGTCACGCCACACTCTTTAAAATACTGGGTTCTTGATGAAGAATCAAAACAAAACCAGATTAAGCATCTCATTTTCATGCAGGCTAGTTCAAATAGAAAAGGATTTAGTAGATTCCTCAGTGGTTCCTCAGTTTTGTACTGTAAATTTGTATGGTTTTAGTTCATGCCAGTTTTGGCCTTCAAAATAGGACTACCATAACTACATTATAAAAATTTGTGAAAAGGTTGTGATACAATTTTATTCAGAATAATTTAAGGCCAATTCACACCGAACCGACAGATGCCGACCAATGGCAACAGACACTTTGTCGGATCAGTGTGTTACCCCTGTCGGCATCTGTTGGCATTGGACGCCGCTTGTTTTCATGTTCAATCAGCGTTTGTCGTGTCGTGGAATGTCTGAGAAGTGACATACTGTAATCTGGTGATTGTGCGCATTGGTCACCGTCTGTCAGTACAGTGTGAATTGGCCTTAATACGTCAGATGGGGTGTTTTTTTTAACATAATACGTATTGTCACAATGCTTCGGATACATATAGGCTACATTTACACTGCAGGTCTTGATGCCCAAATCCGATTTTCTGACTATATCCGATTTTTTTGACGACCCGCTTACATCATCTTTTAAAAGTGACCCATCTCCGATTTTTGCATTTACACTATACACTGCTGAAACTACCAAATGTAGACAAGGAAAGGAAGTAAAACAGCACGAAATGCAATGGATGCAGATGCGAATAAAATTATCCAGTGTTTTGCTTTCCACAATATTTTGAAAAGTCATCAAAAAAGTCAGCAAAACATAGGTCTCGTACGGCGGAGAAAAAAGAGGAGAGCCCTTGTTGGCACTGTTGCCACAAGCGCTTAAAACCGTGCCTCCCCATATCTCGTGAAATGTGTTCAAACACGGATTTATTTCTGTAACAACCCTGCATTTTTGCCTGCACTGTCTCTTCGCCCCAAACACTCAAAAGACATGAAACCTCCGCATTGCTCCACTGTGTGTATCCTTAGTCCTCCATCGCGCCTATAAAAAGTAATGTGATCTCAGTTGGTGGTGTCCACCTGAGTGGACGTCACTTTTTTAATGACGTACGACTCGCATTTACTGGGGAATATCTGATTTGTCTGCTTACATGGCACACGCAAATAGAATGTTTTTTTTTCAGCATTTTATTTCAGCTTACCCTAACTGCAATCAACATTGTAAAACATTTTGTCCTTGCTAGGTAACTACCAGAATATTGAAAAAGATTTTTTGCCTTAGGTAATTCTATTAGTTGTATCAAACGCCTGCTAGATGAAGTTACATCTTATGTCTTTGTTCACAGACGGACAGAAGGATATAGAGGAGGAGCTCACCACAGGTCTGGAACTTGTAGATTCCTGCATTCGATCTCTTCAAGAGTCTGGTATTCTGGATGCACAGGAATTCACTGCAGGCGAAAGTAAGGAGCACTTTTAAATACTGGAAGTTTAACACAATTAAGAAATTACTGAGACTGAACTATGTTAATGACTCCTAAATGTTCTGATGAAGAGTTGTGATCTTAAGCTCAAATGATTGATAATTTACATTCTCTGCGGGTTCTTAGTCAGAAATGCATGTGTAACAGCCCATAATATGAGTTTGCAGGTGTTGCTCTGTAGAGTGTATTGACATGAGCTTGCTCCAGCTTTGTGAAATTCATCAGTTAACCTCCCTATCTCTTATTATGCATGCTAGTAGCTTAATGCATGAATTACGGGTGATTTCTCAACAGAGTTTTTAAGGAAACAAGTATATTCACCCTGCTGAGAATATCAGACTTCATCTGAACTGATTAAATATGATATTTTTCAAAGGCTAATTAAAAGTACCATTTCGGCAACGAGAACATTTCTGAGCCAAAATAAAGATAAAGATGTGTTCTGGTGACTGGCGTGTTTATTGAACCAATCAGATCAGAGGAAATCGAGTGTCAGCGAGAAGCTCATTTGATTGGCTACATGATGAAGGTAGACCCGCCCTCCTCTTCGCGCTTGCAAAACTCAGTTACTGCGTCCCAATTTGCCTACTTATACTACGCCCTAAAAGTATGTACTCTTTTTGTGAAGAAAAAGTACATACTTTTTGAGTGTAGCAAAAGAGTAGGCAAGCTTTGGGACATACTACTTCGTCATCTTTAACGGACAGATCTGTCGTGTGCATCCTGTCACCGTAAACTGCCCTGTCAATCATCTCGTCACAGTTAAAATCCTCCATTCAATCTAATTTCTTACCATTTCGGAGAGAAATGTAGCACGTTCATCTGCCAGTCGTGGGTCTTTCATGCGGAGACTCTATAAATACATTATAATATAAATCTATTCGAATGTACATTTCCAGAAGAAAATGTGAAGTGGTGCTTGCAGTGGCAAAACTCGCCGCTCAGTTGCAAGGGTGTGGCACATGATTGCATACGAGACAACAAACACGTCTGTACAATGTTCTGGTGCTGAGATATGACTTATTCATGTGTTCAGGTGGTTACTAGGGTATTCTATATGGTTGCTATGGTGTGCTTATACAGTTTATGAGATGATATTTAAAGACTAGTTGACAGTCTAAGTCAAAAAAGCCAAACTCCATGTTTCTACTATTTTCTGGAGCTGAAATATGGCTTGGAAATGTAGTTTTATGGTTGCTAGGGTGCCCTAAGTGGTTGCTAGGGCACGGCTATGAAGTTATTATATCACTATTTATTGGTTTCGTGATAGGCCGAGTCAAAAGAGCCCAACCCCAAGTCTCCATGACTTTAAAAATGTAAAAATTTCGTTCTCGCACATGCGCAGTACAGATCGTGTAACCGGTACAGATAGAGTAGCGACATGCATCGATCTGCACTTCGGATTCTGACCGGATATAGTAGACCATCCGGGTATCTTGGAACACTCATTTCAACATACTACGATTTGGGACGTACTAATTCTATTTTCGAATACTATTTAGGACGGATAGTATGCGAATTGGGATGCAGCAAGTGAGTGAGAAAATTGACAAAACTGGAAGCGCAGGTAAAAGAAAGACGCAACTGTACAAATCGGGTTATTTCGGGAACTTTTTTGCCCCATGCACACAAGTCGTCATTCAGACATTTGCAACAGTTTATTTTTTTACACAAAGTTTGATTTTACGCAATTCATCTGTTTTGCAGTTCCTGCCTCTGTTGTTTTCGCTTGCAGATTGCTGTTCACAGGCTTGCAATGCTTTGGTCTGCAATTGTGCGCAAAAACCATGCCAAAAGTGTAAGCGCAGAAAAATTAAAGTCTGAGGAATACAGATCTTTATTTTGCGTTAGCATGAAACTGCAGCTTCAAAATACATGAATTAAACTTACGAATAACAGTTAAAAGCTGCAAATATTTTTTCCTTACACTTGAAGGGCGATTTACACCTTTACAAATCTTCTCTTGCGCATGCAAATTTATTTTACGCTTGCAATCTTATGTACTCTTTCACAAATCTTACCCTGCGCATGCGATTCTTTATGACATCATTTTACCTTCATACTTTTATTCCATGTTCATGTACTTTGAAGCAATCTGTAACAGTTACCTGCTGGAGTGCCCTTGAGTGCCACCAGAGGGCACTCCACATTAGGGTTGTATGATACTGAGAAAATATGCGATATTGTTGTTTAGTATTGCAATAACGATATTTCTTGCTATATAATATTTCCCTAGACTAGAGAAATGCTATTTTTATTAAGATAAAAAAAAAAAATCATTTATATATGTAATGATCATACTAAAATACACTGGTAGGCTAAAAGATATTCTTCTGATCTTTAGTTTTTTTCAGGAGTTACACTTGCAAAACTTTGATTAATGGTTGTCTGTGAGACTCTGTTATTGATACTTTGCATTTCGTTAGCAGTTTTGGTAGATGTGGGCTTACACGTTTTGAAGTCTTCATATAGCTCCCTGAGTTTGCGTTTCCCTGCGAAGTCTTGTTTAGTGTCACACGGCAATTCCAAGCGTTCTCCAAGCATTCTTTCTTTATCTTGGGTTTCGATCTTCTGTCCGGTTTTCTTGGTTTCCTCTGTTTTTGCCTGTGCCCCTTTGACCCTGTTATTGTTTGGACTGATTACCCGGTGTTTATGACCTTTGCCTATTTTTGACTACGATTGTGGATTACCCTTTCAATAAAACTGCATTTGGATCCTCAACCTTCGTGTCTCGGAGCAATTTGTGACAGAAGACTTCGCCACCAATGGATCCAGCAGTACAAATCATTTGTTTGCGGCAATGTAATCGGTCCCTCGAGGACCACATCCAGGACTTCTTAAACATGGCAAATTTCTCTGTCCTTCCTGACTATGCTCTCCTTGTCGTCTTTTGTTACGGACTCAATGATTATTATCAGACTAAGCTTATCCGTGATGGTCCTCGAGGGTCCCTCATTGAATTTTTGGATTATGCCCTGGTTTTGTGTTGTTCCTCTTTCATGGTTGGTGAGGTTGAGGAGGACATGTCCCCTAAAAGTTTTTGGGGGAGGGGCATCACACACCAAGATCAAGTGCCCACGGAGCTTGGCCCACCACGGTCACCAGCATCTCCAGCCATAATGGTCACTAATCCTGTGGTTCCAGTACCTTCCCGTCCTGAGGTTTCTACACCAGAGATTCTTCACGTCATGCCTGCCGAGCCTGAGCTTCTTCACGTCATGCCTGCCGCGGCTAAGTCAGTTCTGGAAAAGACAGCACTCATCATAGTCGCCACGGCGATTTTGAGTGTGTGGGCAGTACCCACATCGGCTCCAGCCCTTGAATCCTTGGCCAAGATGGCCGCCGCCGTTCCAGATTCCTCAGACAAGATTGCTGCCTCCACGCCTGTGTCTTCGGACAAGATGGCCGCCTCTTCCCCTGAACCGTCGGATCCGCCCTGGCTCCCTGAACCGTCGGATCGCTCTGCCTAGGTCTCCAGGCCCTCTTCCGCTCCACGGGCCTGGCCCTCCATCCCGCCACCGGGTCCGCCTCCGCTCCACCTCCCTCCTGGACAATTTTAGGAGCGTCTGGAAGCCGGTCCTTTGAGGGGGGGGGGGGGGGCTATGTAACGTCACCAGCTGGAGTGCCCTTGAGAGCCACCAGAGGGCACTCCACATTAGACTATTGTCATTCTGCGAAGTCTTGTTTAGTGTCACACTGCAATTCCAAGCATTCTCCTGGTATTCTTTATCTTGGTTTTCAATCTTCTGTCCGGTTTTCTTGGTTTCCTCTGTTTGTGCCTGTGCCCCTTTGACCCTGTTATTGTTTGGACTGATTACCCGGTGTTTATGACCTTTGCCTGTTTTCACCTACGATTGTGGATTACCCTTTCAATAAAACTGCATTGGATCCTCAACCTTCGTGTCTCGGAGCAGTTTGTGACACAATCAGTATGCTAGTGTAATTCTAAAGTTAAATATACATTTCAAAGTGCACTATACTTATATTGATCTTAGTTTCTGATCATGGCTCCAATATCTACAGCTGGTTTTAATCTAGTTTTAATTATTACAGATACACGGCACATAACTTTCACTAGCCACTAGGTGTCAATACCTGACTAATCTGATTAATACAACATTCAGTAATGTTTGACATAGCTGTAAGTAAGCAAACTTAAGTACAGGAAACTTCAACCAAAGCATCATAGAACATGAAATATTGAGCAAACTGCTAAATAAATCAGTGCACATGGACCCTTAATGGTTTTTAATGAATCTTACAAGGCAGTATATTTTGTATTTATTTACTTGCTTGTAGTGGTTTCACTCTCTCTAGCTGTGAGTTATAAATAGAACTCAGCTGAAATATTTATCAGCTCTGAACTAAAATGCAGGTCACAGAGTGTGCAGATAAAACCCCACACCCAAAAAGATAAGTGACCAGCCACCTGGACACAGATAGTCAACCACACTACCACTCTGTATGGCAGCAAATGGCATCTTAAGATGTCTGAGACGCTTGAGTTGAGACTGGAGAAGGACCAGAAGTCTGATAATGCATTTATGAAACTTTCAGCTCTTACTGTAAATGTGCCTCTTTTGAATCTGATAGTGGCTAAAGTGGTTATAGTAGTAAACTCCAGCCATTTTCAATAACCGCAGTCAGCCAGTTTCTGATATTACTGGGTCATCTGAAATGACCCAGTTATCATCTTCAATGGTTGTGAAGTCGCTCTGTCACATAGTCTGTTGTGTGTGTTTGTGTGTCCATTTATGGGAAATTTTTTCAAAGACCATAGGCCTTTATTGGTTTTCTTTTAATCTTCATACTTGTGGCCCATTTTTGTTTATGTAAATATCACTAAAATAAGCTGTTGATTTTGATTCATCTTACAGCATGTTGTGGCATGTAGATGTTTTGAAAACAGAGATTAATGCTAAAGTCAGGCCATTTCAACTTGGCATCTCTTTAAAAGATGCAACATCTTTTGGTGCTGTCAGACATCCTCAGAAGAGGAGAAACATGCCCTGACAGTGCAGCAATAAGCTTCAGTTAACACGACACAAAACCACACACCATCATGATCGACTTTGCAGGCTGTCGGAGATTAAATGGCATTTAAATTCATGTCTGTGCACACAGGTGATATGTGCTGCTATGGAGGTGATTACCAAACAGGTACAAACCACAAGGGTACAGAAATTTGGATTGTGCTTTAAAATAGGGCTGAAACCAACAATAATTTTGATGCTGATTTATTAATCAATTATTCCTTCAAAAAAGTTTTTAATAATGTACACTATTTTCAGAAGTTTTGGGGTCATTAAGATTTTTTGTTTTTAAATCAAAGCTGAATTTTCAGCACATTAGCCTTCAGTGTCACATGATCCTTCAGAAATCATTCTAATATGCTGATTTGCTGCTTAAGAAACATTTCTAAGTATTACCAATGCTGAAAACAGCATCTTTTTTCAAGATTCTTTTTTGTAAAATTATTAGTCTTTACCGTCACTTTTGATCAGTTTAATCGATCCATGGAGAAGAAAAGTATTAATTTCTTAAAAAGATAAATCTTACCTCACACTTTTGAACAGTAGTGTATACAGAATATAAAATATAAATATATCAATGTACACTATACTATATATGTAGGATTTTAAGTGAATATGGTAAAAAGCTATATTTAACTTCCAACTACAAGTATTTTATTAAAAAAAATGTATTTGCTTGTGAATGAGACTTTTAGCAAAGTGGAAATACTCATATGCTTATAGCCTCTTTTGAATATAATATAACACGCTTCTCTATTATTTCTCTAACAGTTTTTCTTGTTTCACTTACACTTTCATCTTATTAAATGTCTCAGCCAATCAAACTAAATACATTTATAAAGCAAGTTTCTACAGCTTCTCAAACTACTTCAGTTGGTGAGTTTTTCCCCAACAGTATGATTTTTTTGTTCCAAAGTTAATCATGTTTATAGTGTACAGTTTAAAAATGTATAATGATAATTCTGAATGATGAGTTCAAAGGAACACCTTTCTAAGAGTACCTGTGCCTTATTAATGTGGCTGTGGGTGACATACTGTAAGACTAAACAGGACTGGGAATCACTGCTATTTGGTACAGTGTCAGGCTGTCAGCACAGGAGGGCCGAGCAAAGAGAAGGGACTGCGATTTCTGTTCATGCTGACCCCATTTTCCTGAATGTGTGCTCATTGAGTGTCTTCAAGCAGTGATTAATTATGCATGCCTTTTCTGTCCATCTACTCACTGTGAGGCTTGAAATAATGAGCAGTATAAAAGAAAGTAAAACAGAGAAGAGAAGTACTGTGGATGGAGGCTGGAAGACAATGAAAGGATATGAGATGAAATGGTAAAGCAATTAACCAATTTTACGAAGGTAAAATGAGGTGAGGGGAATTATATGGACCGAGAAGAGAGGGTAACAAGATTTGCATCTCCTGAAGGAAATACCTGAGCTTGCAAGGCTGCAAAAGAAATAACATTTTATGCAAGTTTAGATTTTAAGCTTTGAATCTATATAAATGTAATGCTGATTCATGCCGATTTGACATTGTCATGGCAATCATCATGCATCTTGTTTTCTTTTGGCTGCACACAAGAATCAACAGTCACTGTAAAGGAAGTTAAACATGGTTAAATATATGCAAAGATGACAAAACCAAAGACAATTCAGTATACAAATAAAGAAGACCAACTGCAATTCTTCATCTCTGTTGGATATAAACAATTGTTTGTCAAACTAATAGTATTTCTCTTCCTCCCAAATTCCCCCTTCACAGGACCAGGCATCCTCTCTCAAAGTGCTTTGCAGCTCAATAATCAAGAGGGCACCTTTCCCTATCCAGTCAGTTACCATAGCAACCAGACCCTGGCCCTGGGCGACCTGTCGGCCTCCCAGCCCCCGCGCAGTGGTCAGGTTGGAGGAGCCTTACATAGCTATAATCAGGTGGGGATTGATCTCTTTTTAAAAACTCTGATTTTGACCCTTTTGTCTTAAACTGTTATTTGCCACCTGTTTTTACAAGAAGACCCTCTGGGGGAATTCACTAAGAATTGCGTCTGCTAATAGTGCTGTTTATGTGCATGTGCTGCCTTCATTTATTTAGTGCCTGATCAGTGTTCATTTTCACACCTTTTGTTCAGTCATGACCTTTTGATGAAAACTTCCTTTAAATTTAGTCAAAAAATGTCATTGTCATATTTATTCGTTTTAGTCATTTTTACTCAGTCTAAAATGGCATCTAATTTTAGAAAATTCAAATATTTTATTTATTAAATAATATTTTATTTATAAAAATAACACTGCATTTTTCATTTTTTGTTAAAAGTTGATGCATGTTAAAATTTACAGAGCCCCATGTGTGACGTGTGGAAAAAAATAGATATTGTGGCTAAAAATTAAGAACTCATTCCCACGACTTCTGGTAACGTTTTATTATTAGTTTACTCATTTTATTTCAAACGTGGCCTTGTTGTACAAATTCGTACAATCACAAATTAGTACCACAATTTCTCTAAAATGAGGGAACAAATTAATATGTAGATTGTTTTCCCCCTACATATCATGTGCGGGGCTCTGTAAACTTTTAAATACAACATGAAAGAACATTGTCAGTGTGGTATTATTTCTCTTTATATTTTCGTCAGTAGTATAATTTAATTAAAAATTGTTCATCATGATGCACTTTTTTCATTTTCGTAAACAAACATTTTTGTTAGTAATTTCATTGACAAGATTAACAGTGCAGTGAATTCAGATGAATTCAAAAGAATGACAGTGACTTAATTGAAATACTCATTTGCATTTATACTAGACTGTGAGGTGTTTTTCTTCTGAAATACCACACGCTAAAAAGTGGCGCAAGGATTTAGCAAATTCACCCCTTTTTCCCTTTGAAAATGTCATGTCGGTCACCATCAGTTAGCTCATAGCTCCTAGATGAGTGAAATTCTAGCTCTTTACATGTCACTTACCTCCAGGTGACGTCTAATCGTGTTGCCCAGCTGGCTGCCAGAGAGACAGCCGCCCGGGCCCATTCTCGAGACTCCTTTGCCCAGAGTCATGGCAGTGCATTCCACATGCCTGACGATCCGCCAACAGCCCCTGTAAACTATTCCTGCTCCACTCTACCAGCCCAGCGAGTGAGCTCTCCCTTTTCCATGCAGGCTTTGGGCTCCCCCTCCAAACTGCAGAGGCTGGGCTCAGCCTCCGACATGCCCAGCTACGCCACTCTGGCGCGGGTGTCGTCGCCCAAGCAGTCCCCGAGCCGGCTAGCCAAGTCCTACAGCACCAGCTCTCCCATCAACATGGCGGTGGGAGGAGGGTCGTCCTCTTCACCGCTGCACATGGTCGGACCGGGCAATGGCTCCAGCTCGTCTCCGCTACACCAGCTCAGCGCTGCTGTAGGAAGCTACGCCACTCTGTCCCCCACCAAGAGAATGCTGCACACCACCGATCAGTACAAAATCTCTCATGATCTGTACGCCAACGCCACACTCCAGAGACCTGGCAGTCTGGCAGGTCAGTGCTCTTTGCCAGATACAGCCTTTCCGTTTAGTAGTAGCACTACCAAAAAAACATAAGCACTGGTTATTTTCACTCTTAGCGGGTGTTTGATATCATTAGACATGGTGATAAAAATTTGGCACTATTGTACATTTATAGCATATTTGTGCTTGAGAATCTGCCTTTGTCCATGATGTAGGTTCTAGAGGTTCGTACAGCAGTCAGCACAGTCACCTGGGCTCAGAGCTCAGACCCCTGCAGTCTCCTGAGCACCACATCGACCCCATTTATGAGGACAGAGTCTATCAGAAAGCCCCCCTGAGAAACTTCAACCAAGGCCAGGGTAAGATGGCAGACATCAGGTTCTCTAACAATTTAAAGGCAACAACAAAATATTTTCATCTAGATGGCTCTTGTACAGACTGTGCATTTATGAAATAAGAGGCTTGTTTCAGCTTTATTTTTGTTCAGAATAGAAGTGTTTTCCCAAGTGCCCAATTAATAGCTGTGAGCAACCAGACATCATCAGTATCAGATAGTAACAAGTTTTGCTTTAAAGGTTTTAAAGTAAATGTACTTGCGTTCACATTTAGTTTTATCAGTTGAGCTGAATGTAATATATCATTACAACTATAAACCATAAAAGCACAGACGTTCCTACAATTATATTACACTTTTGCAGGCTAAATGGGATTCTACTAGAAAGTTATACAGATTAAGCATGACATGAAGGTGAGTAATTGTTAGCATTTTAAATTTTGGGTGAACTATACCTTGAACCTTGGCAATCAAACTTGTGCACCATTTTACTTCCATAACCTAATGTATTTCCGGGTCAAACCGAATATGGATTATGCTATGGAATAGGGAATGGATTCAGAATTGATTGGTTGACTCAAGTAAAAGTACCATTACATTCCAAAAAATGTAGTGTGAGTAAAATAAAAAAATTACTTGGCCAAAAAACTAGAGTAAGAGTAAAAAAGTAGCTTATTTAAAAGTACTCATGAGTAGTGAGTACTGAGCTGCGGATTCTACCCCCTTATAATAAACACTGTACACTACAATTATAAAGTTTAGAAAACATTTTACATACTGTAATTTACATTATCTTTTGTTGTTTGTCAGAAAGATTGAAGCTACTGTATCTACCGTCCATCTTTATAAAATGCATCAAAACAACGCGGAAAGACTAGTACAGAGATTACTAGTACCATGTTTGGGGCGGCAGTGGCTCAGTGGTTCATGTGGGTTGTCTACAAACCCGAAGGTTGGTGGTTCAATCCCCGGTTCCACCTGACCAAGTGTTGAGGTGTCCATGAGCAAGACACCTAACCCCAGCTGCTCCCGACGAGCTGGATGGCGCCTTGTATGGCTGACACCGCCGTCGGTGTGTGAATGGGTGAATGTGAGGCAGTATGTAAAGCGCTTTGGTGGCCATTGGGTCTGTGAAAGCGCTATATAAATGCAGTCCATTTACCATTAGGCGATGAAAGCGTTATTCTCATTACACTATCAGCATAAAAAAAAGAAGAAGAAAAAAAGATTTAAAATTAGGTGTAAGGCCACTGAGCCTGAGCGTGATATTGTTGCACATAAAATATCAATGTTCGGAACAGTGCAAAGAATTCAAAAATCTTTAGACTCATACGAGAGTTCAGCATCACACACCATGAGATGGGTTAAATAGAGAGATTAAAAAGACACAATTTCTCTCCAAAATGGTTTTAGTTTTAGTATTTTAATAAAGAAATAAGAATCACTGATATTATCCGTTTACCTCACCTAATACACTGAAAAAGGCTAAGATAGTGAGCAAACAACAGTGTAATTGAATGGCATTAAATATGTTAATGTAAATGCACATTGTTCTAGAAGATGGGCATCATCCTTTACATTTTACACAGCTACATTTACTCAAATAATTGTTATGGTGATAATATAATTTGTAAGCAAAATTCTGCATTAAATAAGGAAGTATTTCCGGGGAAACTTTTTCAAAAGAAACACACACAAACACGCGTCTCTTTGCAGTGAATGGAAAAAAGGGAAAAAAAATTAAGGCGGATTGTATGAAATGGATCAATCAAAAAACGTTGTTTATTAACCAGCTATTGTCACGCACTGACAGAAATGCAGTACACGTTAACGCCATGGGTCATACTGAATCTGGTCCTCCAATGTCAGCACAGAAGGTTTTTTTCCAACTTCAAGGTATTTAGCAGTGATATTGTCAGGCTTTTCTATTTACAGCGCAGTAAGCTAATTGCCTGCACAGAATATGATGGCATTATAAAATAACAATGCAATATGTAACAAAGTTTACAGCTTGGCTTCATGAATTAACTAAGAACATTATAAAAGCTAAGCACACCTTATGCACATCTTTGTTCTTCATTTTCTAGAACTAGAGTTTAAGAACCTTGCTGTATTTATTAATTATTAATTATTTGTATTATTTGTATTAATTTACACAATTATTTGTGTAATTAATTAAGAGAAAATGTACCGCCATCTTCCGATGAAAGTGACTTGAACGCACCTGCAGTCGTAAACACAACTTTCCAACTCGTCAATACGGACTTCCCAGGAGGAATTGAACACACCAAAAGTACCGATACATGACTTAAAATGTAATCAAGTAAAAGTACACAATTTTTAAACTACTCAAAAAAGTACTTAATTACAGTAACGTGAGTGTTTGTAATTCGTTACACACCCCTGCATACCATAGAAGGGAGCTAGAAAAGGACATTTTGAAAAATAAAAAGGAATGGTGACGTCATGTAAAAGATTTACAAGATGTTTTTTATAAAGGTCTAACCAAGATTTTTTGTGAAATTTTCAGATATCAAATTGAAGTATCTTATACAAATTTGTATGCTGTAAGAGTTGCTTGTCATTGTGTTTTAAACTACACAGGTTTTGCCATGATAATAGCCTTTGGTGCTGACATAAATTAATTAAATGGAAAAAAAGAGAGAAAAGATTACTTTTTTATTTATAATATTGTGTATAGATGAATCGTGCGCACCAGGCTTGTGCAAAAAAAGAACAAGTAAATGTCCGTGTTGACTTTAAAGCGGGAATGTTTCCAGCTCGGCTCTGAGCTCCAGTCAGCTGGAAAACTCTGCAGTCAGGAAGAACAGCCCTCAGTGGTGGTTTCTGGGTAGCTATTCAAATCTGAACAAAAGCAGGCCAGAGAGAAAAAAAACTGTTTTGCATTGACACTCAGACAAGCTAATAAAGCACCTACTGAAGAGCTATCATTATGGGTCAGTTTGTTTTTTCGATGGTTTAACATCCTTTCTGTTTTGTTTTGCTCCTTCTGTCCTCCTCCTTTTCTCTTTTGATTGTAATACCTGGTCAACATGTAACGTTTTTCCACCTTTTGCTACACCCAAAGATCCAATGAACCAGTTTTGTGACCAGGTCCTGAACTTTCTGCTCTGTCCCTACTCTCCTGTTGTAGCCCCTTCCTCTCCCGGTGTTGACTCCATACCCTTGCAGCGCACTGGAAGCCAGAACGCCACGGGAACATTCCCCCGTTCTGGCTACGCTACTGGCCCTGGTGCCTCCACTGCCGACTATGCCAACCCCTATCGTACACTACAGTTCTGCCCCTCCACAGACTCACCCTACAGCAAATCGGGGCCTGCTTTGCCCCCGGAAGCTACCCTGGTCAGGTCGCCCTCTGTGGACAGCATCCAGAAGGACCCCAGGTGAGTCCTCCCATTGTTTAATACATCTTGAAAGAACGGCACACGGAGATCTGACCCAGTTAGTGAGAATTAGAGCCGGAATGACGTGCAGTGTGATTTACAAATCAAATAGAGCTTCACATGCACAAATTGTCAATGAAGACATTGTTGGGGAGAGTGGTGTAAGCTGTGCCACTGTTAAGTTTAATTTGTGCTTGGGCAAGGAGAAATGAGAACTAATACAGCTAATGACATTTCAGAATGTCTAATGGCAACTGAATCCAAAATAAACCATCTGTAACAGAGCCATGGTAATATGACTTCTCAAAAAAAAAAAAAAAAGTCAGTTAGGGGTAAATATGTGAACCATTTGTATTTTCATAAAACGGCCAGGACAACTGTCACTACGTATTTGAATTTTGTGAAATAATTTTCAACATTTTATAAAATTATTTTTAGCGAAATATTTATCTCTTGTATTTGGTGGTAATGTTCGCTATCAGTATAACAAAGCATCTGACAGACTATGGTACCGTTCAAAGGTGTAGGGTTTGTAGGAATTTGTTATGTTTTTGAAAGAAGTCTCTTATGCTTACCAAGTCCAAGTAAAAAAAAAAAAAGTATTGACCCCAAACTTTTGAACGGTAATGTACCTAATTAATCTTTTACAAAAAAAAAATCATAGTTTTATACAATTAAAATTCATCCATATTGAATATATTTTAAAATGAAAATCCTCACTATTTATCTGCATCTTTCAATCACCATCAGCTGTATATGATTGGCTCTTTTCAAATATATGGTCACATGTAAAAATAAATAAATGTGCAGTTTGCGTGATTAACGGGGTGACGCATCTTTTTCCACTCTCCTCTACAGTATGAATCAGACTTCACAAGACCTCACTTCCTGTAGTACCTCAGATTGCCTGTGTACTGTATACTAACAGAATCTAAAATCACAAAAACCTATTGCACATTTGTCACAAAAGTAAACATACTTCAGGAGTGATAGCGCATGATTTTTTAGAGAGGTAGTCAGTTCCACCTTTTCACTCTTTATATTGGTATTAAGTATATTTTTTATTTTATCCTGTGACGTTAATTTGATGTGCTGAGAGGCCATTGACGATCATCTCTTGTGAACTAAAGTACTGTATGATTTCTCTCTTTTTTTGTTTGCTTGCTTTTTCTGCTGATTTGACCTGTTTTAGTTGATTTTTGCCATCCCTTCTGTTGACCCCTCATTCTTTTGTTTTTCCCCCATGTCTTCTCACTGCTAGTGGTTATGGTGGAGGTGGTATGACGTGTGATGCATTGCATTTACTGGCTGCAAACAAATGCACAGATATGCACAGACAATTTCAAACTGTTTCAGAACATGTCAAACAATGTCGTCTGTTATCTTTGGTTCACTAATAGTGTTTGGTATATTAAAGGGTGGGTCTGGCAACCATACCGGCCGCAGTTATTCCCAAAATCCTTGCAAATTATATGTGAAACAGCATTTGTTTAACTAAAAAATAATTTGTTTCAAAATATTGTATATACATAAGACACTGCATTATAACATCTTGTACATCTTATGAAGAAACAGGAACATCTAGATCAGAGGCATTCAAACTTTTTTAATGACACCAAGGACCCATAAATATGATAATCGCTGCAATACATTTTCATGTAAGTAACAGTTTTTAATGTGTGAAATATTTGTACATGAATATTAGTGATATTACACAAGAAACATGTTTACAAAATTAAATAGATTTTATATTGTCATTGTTCTAAAGCCCAAAAAAATATTTGGACAGTATTTACTTTGTATTGAGTTGGCAGCATTTTTTCTACTCACTGTTAGATTAATATTGGACATTTTAAATTCAATTTAAATTAATGTTCAGGTTTTTTTCCCTCAATGGAAACATTTCGAATCAGTCTTTATAAAGCAGAATAAAAAGCAATAATGACAAATTTCGCATTGTGTTATTTATTGTTGTAGTGTTCAATTAATAACTTAAGGTTGAAAACCCCTGATCTAGATGATTGTCTTGAGAAATGTATTGGATTTTTTTTTTTTCTAAAAGTAGAATGCAGAGGAATTAACAAATATCAGTATTTGCACTGACTGGAAATATGAAACCTGATCTCACCCAAAAATAAGCTATTGCAGGCTATACTGTCTGGTTCACACTGGAATTAAATGGATGGGAGTTATTTTCCATTATGTGAGACCCCTCTTTAATAAAAACCAGCAACAAATAAGCTTTATAGTGCATGTTGACAGTCAAATGTGTAATATGTACATGCAGCAGCAAGAAGACAGCTAAACGTAAAAATATTATTTTAAAAATGTCAAATCCCTTTGTGCTAGACACCTACCCTGTCTCTCTCTCTGCCTGTCTCCTGATAGGTACGACCCTGAATTCCTTGTCTGGAATCAAAATCAAGCCGAGCAAAGAATGACAAAGTAATCCAACATTTATTTACATTTCTACTCATCCACAAAAGCACTGTTCTCCTCTCTACTCAACATTATATGCTTGGGCAGCATGACTGTGTTGAGACAAGCTTTGCTTTACAGAATATGTCAGAATATGTTTTTATGGATTTCCTTCCAACATTTCCACATTGTGTTTATAAGAAGAGTGCTAGGCCTTTAATCATCCACAGAAAGGTTAATTTGTGGTCAAGTCTAAAGTCATTTTTGATTGATCAGATTAATGGAGTGATAGAAATCAAAAAGTTACATTATAAGAACATACTGTATGTTCTGATCTCTGTTGGCTTTTCCAGAAGGAGTGATAGGTGACTTCATAGGTAACCAGAGTTTGTTCATTGCTGCAAAGCATCACATTGTGTGTGTGCGTGTGTGCGTGTCTCCTGTTGTGTTGTTATTCATCGTTTTGTTATCATTTTATGTTAAAGCATGCTTATTATCCTTTTTTACTTTTATTTAACACCATTGTCTTCTTTTCAATGCAAGCAACAGCCATGATTGTATTGTTGTCTACCACATTGTGCATAATTGAAGTACTGTATTGGCAACCAAACTTGTTAACAAGGAGATGGATATAGTTCAGGGCCCGTATTCATAACGAGTCTAAGAATCCTCTCAGAAAACTCTTAATTTAGCTTAAAAACGTCTCGGTTTACGGATGTAACCCTCGTTCCCTGAGTAGGGAACGGAGACGTTCCGTCGGATGACGACGAATGGGGGTTTCGCTTAGAAGCCTATCAACTTCGAGTATTACAAAACGAGCCAATGGCAAAGAAATGCCATGGGTCTGCGGAATTTGCACGGCGCAACTCCGCCCCACCTAAAAGGAGGAAGCCGGCAGAATGCAGATATGTTTCTTCGCTGAGGAGCCAAGACTGAGCTCAGAATACATAGAGAATACACATATGACCCGGAGGGATGCATATGGAGAACACCGGGGTGTCCAGCCGCAGGTGGAATATTTCAACCCCAGGGGTGGCAAGGTGGCTTGCCAAAGGAAAGACACATGCTCAGAGAGGCTTACAGTGGAAATACACATGTGGGGGTCGGCTCAGAGGAGGGACCATGCACACGGGAGGCACCTAGCCGACGCGCAGGCAATAGACACTGGCGCCGACGTCAGGAGTGCTGGAGGAACTCAGGGCTTTCGGGGAAGCTCACCTGAGGAGAATATCGCACGTATCCAGTCCGTAGAGTGGAATGGCGAGCAAGCGAAGACACCTGAGCGGGTCCGGTACTAGCTGGTTGAAGCGAGTACATGAGAGGACACTGGCTCCACTCGGAGATTGTAGAATCTGGCGAATGTGTTGGGTGTCGCCCAGCCTGCAGCTCTGCAGATGTCTGTTAGTGAGGCGCTATGCGCTAGAGCCCAAGAGGACGGCACACTCCGGGTGGAGTGGGCAGTCACACCAAGGGGGCACGGTCGACCTTGCTGCTGGTATGCCAAAGCAATGGCGTCCACTATCCAGTGAGACAGCCTTTGCTTGGAGAGAGCCTTCCCCTTCAGCTTCCCACCATAACAGACAAAAAGCTGGTCTAAGGTCCTGAAACACTGCGTCCTGTCTACATAGGCGCGGAGAGCACATACTGGACAGAGCAGTGCCAAGGCTGGGTCTGCCTCCTCCAGGGGCAGCGCTTGCAGGTTCACCACCTGGTCCCGGAAGGGAGTGGTAGGAACCTTGGGCACATATCCAAGCCGGGGTCTCGGGATCACGTGAGAGTAGGCCGGCCCGAATTCCAGGCACGCTTAGTCAACGGAGAATGCGTGCAAGTCCCCTACCCTCTTGATGGAGGCCAATGCAACCAGGAGCACTGTCTTCATTGACTGGAACTTAAGCTCCACTGATTGCAAAGGCTCAAAGGGAGCACTCTGCAGGGCAGTTAGAACCACTGCGAGGTCCCAAGAGGGAACGAGAGGAGGGCGAGGAGGATTCAGTCTCCTCGCTCCTCTCAGGAACCTGATGATCAGGTCGTGCTTCCCCACAGACTTACCTTCGACTGGGTCATGGTGTGCGGCAATAGCGGCAACATAGACTTTGAGGGTGGAGGGAGACAGCCTTCGCTCCAACCCATCTTGAAGGAAGGAAAGCACGACACTGATCGAACATCTCTGGGGGTCTTCTCGGTGAGAAGAGCGCCAGTTAACGAAGAGGTTCCACTTCAACGCATAGACGTGTCTCGTGGACGACGCTCTAGCGGAAGTGATGGTAGCCACCACCGCTGGTGGTAGGGTACTTAAACCTTCCTCGTCCCGTCCAGGAGCCACACGTGGAGGTTCCACAGATCGGGACGAGGGTGCCAAAGGGTGCCCCGTCCCTGAGAAAGGAGGTCCTTCCTCAGGGGAATCGGCCAAGGAGGTGCTGTCGCGAGGAGTACAAGTTCGGAGAACCAGGTCCGGGTGGGCCAGTACGGCGCGACCAGAATGACCTGCTCCTCGTCCTCCCTGACCTTGCGCAGGACTTGCGCAAGAAGGCTCACTGGGGGAAACGCATATTTGCGGCCCCGCAGCAAGCTGTGCATCCGTGCCGAGCGTGCCCTCGGTCAGGGAATAATACAGGGCGCAATGGGTCGAGTCGTGAGAGGCAAATAGATCTATCTGTGCTTCCCCGAACTGGTCCCAAATCAGCTGAACCGACTGGGGATGGAGTCGCCAATCTCCCGGGAGGGGCTGAAGCCGTGAGAGCTCGTCGGCTGCACAGTTCAGGGCTCCGGGGATATAAATGGCACGAAGCGACCTCAGATGCTTCTGACTCCATATGAGGAGGTGGCAGCGAGTTGCGACATACGGCGGGAGCGCAGACCACCTTAACGGTTGATGTACGCTACAGTGGCGGTATTGTCTAATTGGACTAGTACGTGTTGATTCTTGAGCACGGCCCGGAAGCGGCGCAGAGCAAGACTTACAGCCAGCAACTCGAGGCAATTGACGTGCCATAGGCGGTGGGGTCCTGTCCAGGAGCCCGCGGCAGCACGTCCATTGCACATGGCGCCCCAGCCCGTAGCAGAGGCATCTGTCGCTACAACAACATGCCGGGAAGCTCGTTCCAGGGGCACTCCGGCCCGTAGAAAACTGAGGTTCGGCCACGGGGTGACGGTCTGACGGCAGGTCGGAGTAACTGGTACTCGGAGGGTTCGGTTCAGGGTGCGGTTCAGCACGCGCAGGTCCAGGATTGGCCATAACCCACCGGTTTTCTTCGGGACAATGAAGTACGGGCTGTAGAAGCCGGACCTCATTTCGGCTGGAGGGGTAGTCTCGATCGCACCCTTCGCCAGTAGGGTAGCAACCTCTGCTCTCATGATAGGGGCATTGCCACCGACCAAAGTTGAGCGGACTCCCCTGAAGCGGGGGGGAGACCGTGAGAACTGAATCGCGTAACCGAGCCTGATCGTCCGAGCGACCCAGCGGGACAGGTTGGGAAGCTCTAGCCAGGCTCCCAACGACTGTACCAGCAGGGTCATACGAACCACAGACTTCATGTCAGCCAGGTTCAGCCACAGATGTCTCTCCTGGACCACAGCTGTGGACATCACCAAACCCAGGGAGCATGCGGTCACCTTCATCGCCTGGAGAGTGAGGTCGGTGGCGGCGCGCAGCTCATTAAAGATCCCTGGGTCTGTCCTACCCTCGTGCATGTCTCTGAGCATCTGGGCCTGGTAGACCTGCAGAGTGGCCATGGCATGCAGAGAAGCAGCTGCCTGTCCCGCCGCTCTGTAGGACTTCGCCACTAATGTAGACGAAAACCTACAGGCTTTGGATGGGTGCTTAGGCTTGCCAGGGGAAGAAGTACTCTGAGGACACAGTTGCATCGCAACAGAGCATTCAACCGAGGGGAGCCCAGTGTACCCACGGGCAGCTGCCCCATCGAGGGGAGGAAAGGCGGATGAAATCAACGAGCGGTCACGAGAAGACATGGGAGTCTTCCAAGACTTCGAGACTTCATCATGCACGTCTGGGAAGAAAGGTGTTGGGGCAGGCTGCGGACGGGAACCAGCAGCTGCACCCAAAAACCAATCGTCCAGCCGCGAGCGCTCGGGACAGGGTGGAGGGGTCCACTCTAACCCGATGCACGCGGCCGCCCGGGAAAGCATGGCCGTCATCTCTGGATCAGACTGAGCCACAGCCATATTCACACCCGAAGGTGGCAGCTGCGACGAGTCGTAACTTCAAGATGAATCAGACCAGCCTTGTGATGCTGCAATTGACATCGCGTCTTCCTCTAGGAGTGCCAAAGGAAACCCGCGGGGCACCCGAAGATGGTCCCGCGGCAATCCCCTAAACACTCACGGGTTGCAACACTGATGAAGGTGCTGTGGGGCACGGACAGATAGTCGGTGCTTTGTTCCACACAGTCACCCTCAGATCACCCTGGCCACCAGCAGAAGTAGAGCCTCCCGTGGAGGCGCTAGATCGGGGTGTGGATGAGGGGGCTCTCACTCATGCGAAGTCACGGAGTCTCGATCGTAGTGTTGCGATGGTCATGTTCCCACAGAGAGAACATGAGTCATCCACGAGCGCTGCTCTAGCGTGATCAGTGCCCAAACTCACTAGACAGCGCTCGTGCCCATCAGAGTCAGATACAAGTCGACCACAACCAGAAGTGCTAGGGCGAGGCATCTTTAAAAAGACGTGCCGTGTGCAAGCTCTTTTGAGAAAAAAACTCGAGTGTTGAAGCGCCCGCGGAGAAACACACCAACTGGCAAACCACGCACAGATTAGCAGGAAGTGTGCACTCGCCGGGAGATCGCCGTCACACCAACACTGGAGAGTTTGCTCATCTCGTAGAAAGCTGACGAAATCAGAGATGGCTAAAGGAACGAAGAATTAACTTGGCTCCGAAGCGAAAACATATCTGCATTCTGCCGGCTTCCTCCTTTTATACCCATGAGGTGGGGCGGAGTTGCGCCATGCAAATTCCGCAGACCCATGGTATTTCTTTGCCATTGGCTCGTTTTGTAATACTCAAAGTTGA